AGGGGAAGATATGCCTCCCATCTCCATCGTACGTGTATCCTACGATTTATTTATTTATTTTGATTTTTAATACCGCCCTTCTCCAGCAGGACTCAGGGCGGTGGACAGCCAAAGTAAAAACACAACATACAAAAATTAAAACCGTTTAAAAGATATTAAATAATGTCAGCCACAATTTAAACCAGCTTTAAACCACGCTTTAGGAGGCCTGGTTTAGCTCAATAGTCAGAAGCACTGTAATTTAATACCAGCTGCCTGCAATTACTGTAAGTTCAAATCTCACCAGGCTCAAGGTTGACTCAGCCTTCCATCCTTTCTAAGGTAGGTAAATTGAGGACCCAGTTTGTGGGGGCAATAAGCTGACTTTGTATAAATATACAAAAGGATGAAGGCTATTGCTTAGCGCATTGTAAGCCGCCCTGAGTCTCCGAGAAGGGCGGCATGTAAGTCAAATTTTAAAAAAAGAAAGAAAGAAAGAAAGAGAGAAAGAAAGAAAAAGAAGGGAGGAGGGAGGAAAAAGAAAGAAGGAAAGAAAGAAGGGAGGGAGGGAGGGAAGAGAGAGAAAGAAAAAAAGAAAGAAAAAGAAGGGGGGAGGGAGGGAAAGAGGAGGGCCTGGTGGCTCAGCAGACAAAAGCATTGTGATTAACACCAGCTGTCTGCAATTACTGTAAGTTCGAATCTCGCCAAGGCTCAAGGTTGACTCAGCCTTCCATTCTTTCTAAGGTAGGTAAATTGAGGACCCAGTTTGTGGGGGCAATAAGCTGACTTTGTATAAATATACAAAAGGATGAAGGCTATTGCTTAATGCATTGTAAGCCGCCCTGAGTCTCTGGAGAAGGGCGGCATATAAATCAAATTAAAAAAAAAATCCAGTTAAAATTAATTTCAAATTAAAATCAAAGGATGGGATCAAGCCAGCCCGGCTAGATGAAATAACTGAGTTTTAAGGGCCGGATGATGGGTTCCTACTACTATACGTCGGTACGACACCCCTGCTCTCCGTGCATTTTATGCTAAGCAATAAAGCTGACCCACAACGGCAATAAGCATGTAAATCGTCCCTCCCCCCCCACCCAACCCAAATTCTCCGTGGGGGGAGGTCTGCGCAGGAGGCATCCATTCTCTACAACAATGGGGGCAGCCGACCGTGGTCGATTTCTCTCTTATTTTGCGTCTCTTGCAAGTCACTGTTTTTCACCGAAGCCTTGAAAAATAACACAACCAGCTTTTTCTTCTCCTCCCCCCGCCCCCCCCAACCTTCCAAAGCCACAATCAACAACCTCTTCCCAAACCCACAAGGAAAACGTGTGTTGCTTTTTTTTAAAAACACACCTAATTCTTACAGGGCTAATACGGTTTTGTAATGAGTAAGTCATGGTTTGCGTACGCCCACCTACCCTTTCGTCCAGCAGAGCAGGAAAACCACAGTAAATATCTTCCCTAGGCTTTTCTTTTTTTTCTTTCTTTCTTTCTTTTTTCTTTCTTTCTTTCTTTTTTTTCTTTTCTTTCTTTCTTTCTTTTCTTCCTTCCTTCCTTCTTCCTTTCCTTTCTTTCTCTCTCTCCTTTCCTTCTTTGTCTCTCTCTCTTTTTTTTTTCCCTCCCTCCCACACTCTTTCTTTTTCTTTCTTTCTTTCTTTCCTTTCTTCCCTTTCTTTCTTTCTTCCTTTCTCTCTTTCTTTCCTTCTTTCCTTCCTTCCCTCTTTCTTTCCTTTCTCTTTCTCTCTTTTTCTTTCTCCCACACTCTTTCTTTTTCTTTCTTTTTTCCTTCCTTCCCTTTTTTCTTTCTTTTCTTCTTTCTCTCTTTCTTCCTTCTTTCCTTCCTTCCCTCTTTCTTTCCTTTCTCTTTCTCTTTTTCTTTCTTTCTTTCCTCTTTCTTTTCTCTCTTTCTCTTTCCTTTCTTTTCATTCTTTCCTTCCTTTCTCTATTTCTTTTTCTTTCCTTCTTTCCTTCCTTCCTTCTTTCTTTCTCTCTCTCTCTCCACTTCTTTCCTTCTTTCTCTTTCTCTCTTTCTTTCTCCCTCCCTCCCTTTCTTTTTCTTTCTTTCTTTCCTTCTTTTCCTTTCTTTCTTTCCTTCCTTCCTTCCTTCTTTCCTTTCTCTTTCTCTTTCTTTCTCTCTCTTTCTCTCTCTTTCTCTTTCTCGCTTTCTTTTCCCTCTCTCCCTTTCTTTTTCTTTCTTTCTTTCCTTCTTTTCCTTTCTTTTTTCTTCCTTCCTTCCTTCCTTCTGCCTGCCTGCCTGCCTGCTTTCCTTTCTCTTTCTCTTTCTTTCTCTCTCTTTCTTTCTTTCTTATTATTATTTCATAATAAAGATAGTCCTCCATGTAGGACCACAACCGAGCCCAAAATTGAGGTTGCGAATGGAGAAACGCGTTAAGCGAGTTTTGCCCCGTTTTACGACCTCTCCTTGCTGCATTTGTGAAGGGAACCAAAGCCATCGTTCAATTAGTGACACGCTTGTTAAATGAGTCTGTCTTCCCCATCGACTTTTCTGGTCAGAAGGTCGCAAACGGGGATCATGTGATAACCCCCCCCCGCCGGGACACCACAACCGTCATAAATCTGAGTCAGTTGTCAAGCAGCCGAATGTAAATCACATCACGGATGCTGAAAACGGTCATAAGTGTGAAAAACGGTCATCGCTCACTTTTTTTCAGCGTAACTTGGAACGGTCACTAAGCGAAGGTTGTAAAGCCGAGGGGAATACCCGTACAGGAAGTCCCCAACTGACAACCGTTCGTTTAGTGACCGTTTCAAAGTTACGACGGCACTGAAAAAAGTGACTTAGTTAGGACCCTTTCTCACACTTACGACCGTTTCAGCATCCCCACAGTCATGTGATTTATATTTGGGTCCTTGACAACTGATTTGTATTTATGACCGTCGCAGGTTTCCCGGGGTCACGTGATCCCCTTTTTTTCAACCTTCTGACCAGCAAAGTCAATCTGGGGAAGGCCAGATTCACTTAACCACCGTGTGACTCATTTAACGACTGCGGTGATTCACTTAACGACCGTGGCAAGAAAGGTTGTAAAACAGGACAAAAACTCTCTGAACAAATTCCGCACTCGGCAGCATAAATTCTGGGCTCCCTTGTGGTCGTAGGTCGAGGACTAGCTGTAAATCTTTGTTTTATAATCAAGCTTATAAAATCTATTCCAGTGTTTCTCAACTTGGAAGCTTGAAGTTGGGTGGACTTCAACTCCCAGAATCCCCCAGCCAGCAGCGCTGGCTGGGGGATTCTGGAGTTGAAGTCCACCCAACTTCAAGCTTCCAAGGTTGAGAAACACTGATCTATTTCTTGACAAAGAGGCTTCCAAGTTCCTATATTTTCCTAGCATGACTTCTTCAAAACAAGGTTTATATACCAAGGGTAGGTCTAATATTGGCCACTTTATACGACCTGTGGACTTCAACTCCCAGAATTCCCCAGCCCATTAAAATGCCAATTAACAGGATAACAAAATTGGAAGGGATCTTAAGAGGTCCTCTAGTCCAACCCCCCGTTGCTCAAGAAGGAGACCTTATACCAGGGGGTGTCCAACCCTGGCCACTTGAAGGCTTGCGGCCAAGATTTTAAGACACCCCCCCCATAATAAACTCCCAGAATTCACAGCATACGTGGACTTCATTTCCCAGAACTCTTGGCTGATTGGGGGAATTCTGGGAGTTGAAGTCCACACGTCTTAAAGGTTGGCCAAGGTTGGACATCCCTCGTTTATTACCTTCTTCCCCGCTCCTTCTCACACAAAGGCCCGCCGGACAGCCCCTCCCATGTAGGCCTCTCCCCCAGACCCAATACATTTCATTCAGAAAAATTCAGACACCGCCCCTCCTTTTATTTTGCACACCCAAAAGTCTTCTTGCACACAATTTCTTTTCCTTGCACCGTGAAACCCATTGCAGGGGGGTGTTGGGGGGTGAGGACAACCTTGTAAGACCACCTCAAAAATTGGGGGAGGGGGGGTAAAGCTGCAAAGCCCTTGGTCTCCACCCCAGCCAAGGGCAGTTGCACCCCCTCCTCCTCCTGGGAACTCCCCCACCCACCCATGTCCCCAATTTTTTTTTCTTCCTGCCCCCCCCCCCCCCAATTCGGAAGGAAATGTAGCCTTTTATATAGAGACAGAACTCCTAATTCAACACATTTTTTCATCTTTTGGGGTCTTCGAGTTGATTATTTTTAAGGCAGAGAGGAAGCGAAGAGAGCAGGCGCCCCGGAGTCAAAACACCAGGCCACAGTCAATCAATCAATCAATCAACCAACCAACCACAATGGGTGGAGTAAATAAATAAATAATAAAGGTTTTTGGATTGATTTTAAAAGGCGGAGAGGAAAAGAAGAGGGCAGGAGCCCCAGAGTCCAACACCAGGCCACACAGTAAATAAATCAATCAATGAATCAATCAATCAATCACAAAGGTCTTCGGGGGTTGAATAAATAAATAAGTAATAAAGGTCTTCGGATTGATTTTTTTCCCCCCTAAGGCAGAGAGAAAGAGAAGAGGGCAGGAGCCCCGCCGGAGTCCCAACACCAGACCACAGTTAATCAATCAATCAATCAATCAATCAATCAATCAATCAATGATAACAGTCTTCGGGTTGAATAAATAAATAAACAAAGAAAGAAAGAAAAAAGGGTCCTTGGGTGGATTATTTTTAAGGTGGAGAGGAAAAGAAGAGGGCAGGAGCCCCCCCCCCGAAGTCAAACACCAGGCCGCAGCAAACAAAAAAATAAAATAAAATAAAAAAAATAAAATAAAATAAAAATAAAATAAAATAAAATAAAATAATAAAATAAAATAAAAATAAAATAAAATACATGCACACACTCATACATGCACCCACACATACATACATACATACTGTAAATGTCGTACTCGCCAGCCGAAAAAACAAAACAAACAACAAAAAACAACAAGAACAACAAATCACACCCAAAATGTCAAAACTCCCGCAAAAACAGCGCAAAACCTCGTCTGCTCTTTTGTTTTGTTTTGTTTTTTTACCTGCGCAGCTGGAAAGCAGCAAAGGTGCCAGGAGAGAGATCCAAAGACCCCGGGAAGCCGCGCTGGGCGTTTCCATGATCCGTTTGGAGTCACTGCCCGGAGTGGAAGAAGACGTCGACAATGAAGGAGAAGAAGAAGAAGAAGAAAAAGAAGAAGGGGGAAAAAAAAATATGCGTTTGAGAAGCGGAGGAGGAAGGGAAAACGGGGTTGGGGAGGGCGCTCTTGTCGTGCAGTTTAAAAACGGGTTGGGGGGGGGCAGGAAGGCAGCCCGCATTGCTCCGTTTCCAAAACGGGTGGAAGTGGGGGTGGGGGGGGGGACAGTCCCAGTTCCTTGCCTACCAGCATCCGAGGAAGGGGGTGGGGGGAGAGGAAGAAGACCAGCCAGATAGATAGATAGATAGATAGATAGATAGATAGATAGGAAGGAAGGAAGGAAGGAAGGAAGGAAGGAAGGAAGGAAGGAAGGAAAGAGAAATAAGTAGAGATGGGAGGAAAGATAGACAGCTAGGTAGATAGACAGATAGATAGGAAAGAAGGGAAGGAGGGAGGAAGGAAGGAAGGAGGGAGAGATAAATAGAGATGGAAGGATGGATAGATAGATAGATAGGAAGGAAGGAAGGAGGGAGGGAGCGAAAGATAAGTAAAGATGGAAGGAAAGATAGACAGCTAGGTAGATAGACAGATAGATAGGAAAGAAAGAAGGGAGGGAGGGAGGAAGGAAGGAAGGAGGGAGGGAGAGATAAGTAGAGATGGGAGGAAAGATAGATAGATAGATAGATAGATAGATAGATAGATAGATAGATAGATAGATAGATAGATAGATAGAAGGAAGGAAGGAGAGATAAGTAGAGATGGGAGGAAAGATAGACAGATAGGTAGATAGATAGATAGATAGATAGGAAAGAAGGAAGGAAGGAAGGAAGGAAGGAAGGAAGGAGGGAGGGAGAGATAAGTAGAGAAGGGAGGAAAGATAGACAGGTACATAGACAGATAGATAGGAAGGAAGGAAGGAAGAAGGGAGGGAGGGAGAGATAAGTAGAGATGGGAGGATCGATCGATCGATCGATCGATAGATAGAGGGGAATATTTGGGGAGGGGTTTCTGGCGCTCTCTGACCTGGGTTTGTTTGCTTGCGGACTTTCGTGATGCGCGCTTGTTTTGTTCCCTAGTTTGGGGTCGCCAAACCTCTGCAAGGAATCAAGCCCGCTTGGAGAGCCCCGAAGAGACCCCCACCCACCCACCGCCACCCCTCCAACTCCAGTGACTGGGGAAGAATAGAAGTTGCGATCCCCCCCTCCCTCCCCGGCGTTTCTCCTCCGGACATGTCCGAAGGTCGCCACGCCAGACTGCGGGGCTGGGGGCTGTGGATTGGGGGGGGGGGATCGGTGGAGAAAGAAAGGTTTAAATACGGGGTTAACTCATAAATCCAGGGTAAAGTAAGGGGGGGCGTGGGCGGGAGAGAGGCAAAGGAGACCCCCCCCCTCTCAAAAAGAGATAGGCGGGCACGTCCCAGCCTTTCAAACCCCCCTCCCTCCGAGACCCCCAACCCACCCACCCATTTACCCACTCACCGGGGCGCGGGGGGGAAGGAAAGGAGACCCCCGTTTGCTGCTTCTCGCTGGGTGGTCCAGGGATGGATCTGAGCCGGGCACCGCGATCCCAGCCGGGAGAAGGTATAGGGGGGTGGGGGGCTTCCTCCGGGCTCGGTACCGCTAGCTAGCGACGGCTGGAAGGATGAGAAGGCAGCCCGGGGAGTGGCGGGGGCGGCATCCGTGGGGGTCGCGGACCGAGTCTTCCCCACTCACCCACCCACCCACTCACTCACTCCCTGCAAGCAGCCAGCCAGGAAAAAGAGAGGGAGAGAGAGAAAGGGAGGGAGGGAGGAGTGGGGAGGAGTTGAAAAAAAAAAGGAGGGGGGGGGCGCTGGGCTTTCACCTCGGCCGCCCCCGCTCGCTCCGCAGCTCGCCGTCTGCCGGTTGAGCAAGAGAAGGACCCCCCCCCTTTCCCTCCCCAAACACACAAACACACACACACACTTCTGTTGCCTAGCATTGGCTCCGTTAGGAGGGGGAAAATGGGTGGGTGGGTGGGTGAGTGAGTGGGTGGGGAAGAGGCAAACGTCCCCTCCTCCTTCCCTCTCCTCCTTCCATCCCTCCATCCCTCTTTCTCTCTCTCTCTCTCCCTCCCTCCTTCCCACCCCTCCTCCTTTCCCTCCAGCTTTCGAGGAAGGGGCTTCCCTTCCAGATGCGGCTCTTGCAAACGCTCCCAACTTCCAAGCTGCAAAGACAGCGGAGTTTGATTTTTTTGGGGGAGGGGAGAGGGGGGGAGGGAAAAAAGGGAGGGGGGGGGTGTCCGGTGTTGCTGCAAAGAAGGTTCTGAGATTTGGGGGGGGGGTCGGTGGGTTTCCCAGCTAAGGTCACCCCTGCTTTGGAGGCGGAGGGGTTGGGGGGTCGTTTTGCCTTAAGGTGGGCTGCTGGGGGGGAAAGCCGGGGTTGGGTCCGCAGGGTTGGGGAGGGGGGAGGGAGGGAGGGAGGGGAGGGGGTTGGTGGGAGGGGGAGGGAGGAGAGGCCCGGCTGCACCGCGCCCCAACCCGGTGCCTGGAAGATCTTGGCGGAAAAGGGGGCTCCTCCGGGCCCCGCGGCGGTGCCAGCCCGAGCCCGGCCGCGCAGGGAACCTACCTCCCCGCGATCCGCTCCGGAGTTTCCGCCAGAGGCCTCGGCAACGTCCCGCCGGCTGGCTCGGCTCTGGAAGGAAGGAGGGGAAGAGAGGACCGGGGGCAGGAAATCAGCAGGAGGCGGAGGACCGGTCAAGGCTCCGCGAAAGAGGAACCGGCGGCGGGCGGGCAAGGGCTCCGGAGGGCTGGAAAAGGGCAGAGAGAGAGAGAAAGAGAAGGAAGGAAGGAAGGAGGGAGGGAGGGAGGGAAAGAAAAGCAGACAAGCAGGAGGGAAAGGAGGCAGGCAGGCAGGCAGGCAGGGGGCAGAAGGAAGGGGGGGAAGGAGGGAGGGAGGTGGACGGAAGGAGGGAAGAGAGACAGGAAGGAAGGAAGGAAAAGTAGATAAACAGAAGGGAGAGAGGAAGGGAGGAAGGAGGAAGGAGGCAGGAGGGAGGGAGGTGGAAGGAAGGAGGGAAGGATGGAAGAGAGGAAGGAAGGAAGGAAAAGTAGATAAACAGAAGGGAGAGAGGAAGGAAGGAGGCAGGAGGGAGGGAGGTGAAAGGAAGGAGGGAAGAGAGGAAGGAAGGAAGGAAGGAAAAGTAGATAAACAGAAGGGAGAGAGGAAAGAAGGCAGGCAGGAAGGAGGCAGGAGGGAGGGAGGTGGAAGGAAGGAGGGAAGGAGGGAAGAGAGGCAGGAAGGAAGGGAAGAAGGAAGGAAGGAAAAGTAGATAAACAGGAGGGAAAGAGGAAAGAAGACAGGCAGGAAGGAGGCAGGAGGAAGGGAGGGAGGGAGGTGGAAGGAAGGAGGGAAGGAAGGAAGGAAAAGTAGATAAACAGGAGGGAGAGAGGAAAGAAGGTAGGCAGGCAGGAAAAGTAGATTAAACAGGAGGGAGAGAGGAAAGAAGGCAGGCAGGAAGGAGGCAAGAGGGAAGGAGGGAGGAAGATGGAAGGAAGAAAGAAAGGAAGGGTTGGGTGGGAGGAAGGGAGGGAGGGAGGGAAATGGAAGGAAGGAAGGAAGGAAGGAAGGAAGGAAGGAAATAAAGTTGTGTCATCGTCTTGAAACCTGGAGTCTTTTTAAAGTGGTGCTATAGCCATGCAGGCAGGGCCATATCATGGTTTGTTCCATCCTAGAAATTGAGACTCCTGCCCCAGGGAAGGTAGGTAGGGCAGTGCTGACCGTCTGAAGGCCCTTTTCCAAGCCTTCTGGACTTGAGGCTCTTCAGCTACATTGGCTTCCACCTGGAACTTAGGAAAGTAAAGTGGGGGGAAAACAAACCCTTATATCTGTCTTGCTCTGTTTGTAGCATGTGTGCTACCCGCCTAGATTAGAATCGGCAATTCTCAACTTTTTAAGATTGATGGACTTCAACTCCCAGAATTCCTCACTCCACAAGCCTGGCTGGGGAATTCTGGGAGTCGAAGTCCACCTATTTAAAATTGCCAGGGTTGAGAAATATACTGCACTAAACAGTCATTGAAGTCAGAGTAGGTTTGCAGAGTTAATACTGTAATAGTATTGTTAATATTATACTATTATATGAATACATAATCTATTGTAAGGCTCCCAGAGGCTGCTCGATATGGGGAGGAGTGGCCAATAAATGTCATAAATAAATTTAGAAACTTTGAACCAATCACCAGCAGATAGTGAGTTCTAGTCCCGCCTTAGGCATGAAAGTCAGCTCCGTTACTTTAGTCACTCCCTCTGTTTCAGCCCATCTCACAGGGTTGTTGTGGGGAAAATACCCTGTTTCCCCCCAAAATAAGACATCCCCTGATAATAAACCCAATCGGGCTTTTGAGCGCATGGCAATAAGGCCGAGCGCTTATTTCAGGGTTCCAAAAAATATAAGACAGGCTCTTATTTTCGGGAAAACACGGTGTCTGTCTGTCTGTCTATCTATCTACCCTGTTTTCCCCAAAATAAGACATCCCCTGATAATAAGCCCAATTGGGCTTTTGAGCGCATAGCAATAAGGCCATGCACGCTTATTGCAGGGTTCAGAAAAATATGAGACAGGGTCTTATTTTCGGGAAAATACACTATCTATCCATCCGTCCGTCCATCCATATATCTATCTCCGTGTCTGTCTCTTATCTACTTATCTACCTACCTCTACCTAACTACATCTGTCTGTCTGTCTGTCTGTCTGTCTGTCTGTCTGTCTGTCTGTCTGTCTATCTATCTATCTATCTATCTATCTATCTACCCTGTTTCCCCCAAAATAAGACATCCCCTGATAATAAGCCCAATCGGGCTTTTGAGCGCATGGCAATAAGGCCATGCACGCTTATTGCAGGGTTCAAAAAAAATATAAGACAGGGTCTTATTTTCGGGAAAACACACTATCTATCCATCCATCCGTCCATCCATATATCTATCTCCGTGTCTGTCTCTTATCTACTTATCTACCTACCTCTACCTAACTACATCTGTCTGTCTGTCTGTCTGTCTGTCTGTCTGTCTGTCTGTCTGTCTGTCTGTCTGTCTGTCTGTCTATCTACCCTGTTTCCCCCAAAATAAGACATCCCCTGATAATAAGCCCAATCGGGCTTTTGAGTGCACGGCAATAAGGCCATGCACGCTTATTGCAGGGTTCAAAAAAAATATAAGACAGGGTCTTATTTTGTAGGAAACACGGTAGGAGGAAAAAGAGGTATTAGTATATTGGGTGCATTGCGTTTATAAAAAGAAATAATAAAGATGGGATGAAAGTAAATAAACAAATGAGGCACGATGTCATTCGGGTTTCTCCCAGATGCCACCAGGAACCATCAGATAAGGCTGCACAAATAGAGACCATAAGTTGCACAGCTTCTTACATCACACCGAAACAAATGGTGTGGTAGCGAAAAAAGTTTTATGTAAATCATTTCTGGAGAACAAGCCTGGCTCTGTAGACGATGCAAAATGACTTCTGCTTTCTGGATTTGTGGGGAATCGTCGTGGCATAATACAAAACTAAGGTTTTATAGAGATATACAGAAGAAGAGAGTTGGAATGGACCCTGGAGGTCTTCTAGTCCAGCCCCCTGCTGAAGCAGGAGACCCTACACCTGTGATGGCGAACCTATGGCACGTGTGCCACCTGTGGCACGCAGAGCCATATTGGTCGGCACGCGAGCGTTGCCCTCAGCTCAGCTCCAGCACGCATGTGCAAGCTGGCCAGCTGATTTTCGGGCCTTTTGGGCCCACCGGAAGTTGGCAAATGGGCTGTTTCCGGCCTCTGGAGGGCCTGTGGGGGAATGGGGAAGGCTGTTTTTGCCCTCCCCAGGCTCCTAGAAAGCTTCTGGAGCCTGGGGAGGGCGAAAAACGGGCCTACCGGGCCCACCGTGCCATCACATGCCAAAACTGGTGGGAGTATGGGAGGGTCACATGTGCATGCGTGGGGGGGGCCCCGCATAAAATTATGGGTGTGGGGGGCACGCGCGACCACCTCGCACTCTTCCCGCTTTTGGCACACCTACCCAGCCGGTAGGGCAGAGAACCAGTTGTTAAAAAAACACCGGGAACCACAAAATCCTTTTGACATATCTCTCTCCCCTCCTTCCCTCCCTCCCTCTCTCCCTCTCTCTCTGTATCTCTCTATGTCTTTCTCTCTCCCCCTCTCTCTGTATCTCTCTCTATTTCCAGTTATGATAAATGGTTGCTTTTTATGTGGGGAAAAAGCTGGAACCGGTCAATATGGTGAAGGAATCTTTCTGCTCTTCTCATAGTGCACATTTTAGAACAAGTTCATCTTTCCTGAATAGAAAAGCAGAACTCTTTGGTGCGACTATATATGGAGCTGTGGCCCATCTTTCCCATTCTCAAAAATTTATTTATTTATTTAATTGGTTCGATTTATATGCCGCCCTTCTCCGGAGACTCAGGGCGGCTTACAACGCGTTAAGCAATAGCCTTCATACTTTTGTATATACCTGCTTAGTATTTTATTTTTATTTATTTATTTATTTCGAATTTATATACCACACCTTCTCCCGAGGGACTCAGGGCGGTGTACAGCCAGATTAAAAAAACATACAATACAAACATTAAAAACAATTAAAAAGATATATATTAATTTGGCCCCAATTTAAAATAACAAACCAATTAAAAATATTTAAAAAATATATTAATATAGTAGAGCTTTTGCCCCCCCCCCAAAGCAGTGTTCTTTTTTATACAAAGTCAGCTTATTGCTCCCACAATCCGGGTCCTCAATTTACCTACCTCGGAAGGATGGAAGGCTGAGTCAACCTTGAGCCTGGTGAGATTTGAACTCGCACTAATTGCAGGCAGCTGGCAGCTAAGTGCTACTTTAACAGCGCTTTAGTCCGCTGCGCCACCAAGGCTCCTTACTCACACTAGGCGAGGGGGACAGAAATGGATGCATTCTCACAGATCAATTAACCGGGCCATTTAGAGACTTGGCACCTAGCTGCCTTCACTCAACCGGTTAAGCTCCGTTGGGAGTTTTGTTAACCCAGCCTACTGGGTTCATTTAATTTCCTTTATTATGCAAACCTAGAAAAAAATAAATTTAATTCGAGAACCAGATTAAGTGTCTCGGGCAGTGGTGGAATTCACATTTTTTTTTACTACCGGTTCTGTGGGCGTGGCTTGGTGGGCATGGCAGGGGAAGGATACTGCAAAATCTCCAATTCCACCCCACTGCAGGGGAAGGATACTGCAAAATCCCCATTCCCACCCCATTCCAGGGGAAGGATACTGCAAAATCTCCAGTCCCACCCCACTCCAGGGGAAGGATACTGCAAAATCCCCATTCCATCCCCACTCCTGGGGAAGGATACTGCAAAATCTCCAGTCCCACCCCACTCCAAGGGAAGGATATTGCAAAATCTCCATTTCCACCCCACTCCAAGGGAAGGATATTGCAAAATTTCCATTCCCACCCCACTCTGGGGCCAGCCAGAGGTGGCATTTGCCGGTTCTCCGAACTACTCAAAATTTCCGCTACTGGTTCGCCAGAACCTGCTGGATTTCACCCCTAGTCTGGGGTGAACCCAGCTGTCAAATCCAAGACGCAGCTTTTATATTACAAAGCCTTCCAGCAAAGTATTGGATTTAACCGTGGTCTGTTTACTAAGCCACATTCCACCGGGTTCACTGAACACAACAAGCCACGATTTGTGGTTTAAAAGGCCTCAGTGTCCATTGTAATGCAATTGCAGAATTGCTGGTCATGAAGAGCTTGCATATAATTCCACGTGGTGATAAAATGGTGACAATACACAACAACATCCTCGTTTTCTGGTTAGTGGGTGAAGATACACAAATTAGATCGTGGTTTGGACACAAGCCATCATCCATTGCTGGCTAGAAGAGCAATTCATGAAGGCTACAGGTGGTCCTCAACTTACAACCATTCATTTGAAGTTACAATGGCACTGAGAAAAATAATTTAAGTGATCCTCATCTT